CATTGTACAGTGGCATTAAGTGCCGTAATGTGCACCTCTGCCTACCCCTTCGGGGATAAAAAGGCGTGATGTTATGTTATGTTATGGTATGTACGGGATATAAAAAGAACATCTTTCTTAGAATCAGTTAATGAATACCTACTGTCTGTATATATATTATTGGTTATCATATTTGTTATAGGTGGAAAGTGAACCAATAGATGGTGATTCACCGCCATACGGCTGGCCTTCACAAGGTGTCATAGAATTTGAAGACGTTTACCTGAAATATAGGTAGGTTATGTTCAATAGATAGTTTCATAATAACTATTGGCAGTTTCTTGTTATCTTAATCGCCAGTATCTACTTGATAATTAGAGATTATTTGAGATATCTTATTACTAGGTGTTCTGTAAAACCTTTCTTTCAAAGATGTAATACGGAATATTTTATTTACAGCGGTCGTGAGAATGGTGTGATGGCCTTGAATGGCGTATCATTCTCTACGCATCCTGGCGAAAAGCTCGGTGTAGTGGGTCGCACTGGAGCAGGGAAGAGCTCTCTCCTCACAGCACTACTTCGCCTGGCACCACTCGCCAGAGGGCGAATTTTAATTGATGGAGTGGACATTTCAAAACTGCACTTACATTCACTCCGGTATTACATACATATTATGTTATTCATTCGCTTCAAAATCTTATGAGGCTTCTGCATTAATGCATCTCAATATAAATTGTAACGTAGACTGTACTTATTCATTGTAAATAAATGACGATAATTGCAGGTCCCGAATAGGTGTGATCCCGCAGGAGCCGTTCATATTCTCTGGCAGTCTGCGCGACAACGTGGACCCGCTGGGCCAGTACCTGGACGCCGAGCTGTGGCGCGCGCTGGACGCGTGCGGGGCGCGCCACCTCGTGTCGGCGCGCGCCGGCCTGCACGCGCCCGCCGCGCGCGCTCTGTCGCGCGGACACGCGCAACTGCTCTGTGTAGTAAGGGCCTTACTACACCGACCTAAGGTACACTTTTCAACAACTTATTGTATAACTAGCTGTTGCCCGCGACTTCGTCCGCGTAGATTAATGCCTTCTGACAGAATTCATCAGAATCAATTCAGTGCCCAATTAAGATTTACCTATTGTGAAATGATTTATCGTAATTTCAATAAATTAAAAATCCCGCAGGGTTCTTACCAGTCCCGGCCCGATCACGTAAGTTTTGAGTAATAAAAACTTCGACTGTTGTACAGAATCTCTATGAAATAAGTTCAGTGGTTAAAAGATAGAGAGTCCTGGAGCATTGACGCATAGTTCCCGTTCCCGAGGGACTTCTGAGATAAAAACTATCATACGTTACTCAGGTCCCAAATCATCGTTTTACCGAATGTAATTCAAAAAGATTCAGTGATTCTAGATTCAATTTTCATTCCCAATTTCACACCAACTATCATTCCCTATTTTATCCCCTTAGGGGTGGAATTCATCAAAATCCTTTCTAAGGAGATACCTATGTCATAGTAACTTTATGCATGCAAAGTCTCAGCCCGATCGGTTTAAAACTGGCAAACTATCACACAAACTTTCACCCTCTATATTACCCACTTTGGGGTGGAAATGTTCAAAAACCTTTCTAAAGGGACGTGTACGTCATAATATCTACCTGCACGCCGAATTTCAACCCGATCTGTGTAAAACTGACAAAACCTCATACAAACTTTCATCCCCTACATTATCCCATTGGAGGTGGAAATGATCAAAATCCTTACTTGGAGATGCCTACGTCATAACATCTACTTTCATGACGAATTTCATCCCCATCGGTGTAAAACTGACAAAGTTTCATACAAACTTTCACCCCTATTTTACCCCCTTGGGGGGTGGAAATGATCAAAATCCTTTCTTAGAGGATGTTTACGGCAAAATTTCTATCGGCACGCCGAATTTCAACCAGATCGTTTTATAATTGACAAAGTTCCATACGAACTTTCACCCCCTATTTTACCCTCTTGGAAGTGAAAATGATCAAAATTCTTTCTTAGAAGATGCTTACGTTATAACATCTATCTGCATGCCAAATTTCAACCTGATCGGTTTAAAACTGACAAAGTCTCATACAAACTTTCATCCCCTATTTTACCCACTTGGGGGTGGAAATTATCAAAATCCTATCACAGCGGATGCTTACGTCATAACATCTGTCTGCATGCCAAATTACAACCCGATCGGTTTAAAACTGACAAAGTCTCATACAAACTTCCATCCCCTATTTTACCCCCTTGGGGGTGGAAATTATAAAAATCCTTTCACAGCGGATGCTTACGTCATAACATCTATCTGCATGCCAAATTTCAACCCGATCAGTTAAAAACTGACAAAGTTTCATACAAACTATCATCCCCTTTTTTAAATTATAAAAATCCTTTCTTAGTGGATGCCTAAGTCATAACATCTGCCCTGAGGACACGGTGGAACACACGGTGGGAGAATGCCCTGCGTGGGCTGAGCACCGCCGTGCCCTCAGGGAAGTGATCGGCGATGGCGACCTCTCGCGTCCGGGCCTAGTGCGGGCCATGATGCGGAGCGAGGGGGATTGGGATGCCGTCTCCTCCTTTTGCGAAGCAGTCATGCTAGCTAAGGAGGAGGCGGGACGCGTGAGGCAGCGAAGCGCTGCCTCCTCGCAACCCAGCCATCGCGAAGGACACACCGGGCGTCGGGGATCGCGGGACGATCTCCGGCCACCGTAAGCGCGGGCCTGCGGACGGCGAGCATGGGTGGCTCCCCGTCCGACCAGAAACAGACCCGAGCGTACGGCGCGTCGCGTTCCGCGCGCGCCTCAAAGAGCCATCAGACCACCACAGATGGGGCCCAATAGGGCCGATGCCGATTCGGAGTCGCGGAGAACCTAACGGGTAACCGGGGCTCCGGCTCGACGTGCAGGAGAAGGAACGGGGTGGTTTTTAGTCAGTAAGAGTCTGACACTCCCTCCCGCCTCACCCAGGCGGGAGCAGTCATTCGATGATTTTCCTCCCTTAAAAAAAAAGTCATAACATCTATCTGTATGCCAAATTTTAGCCCAATCTGTCCAGCGGTTTGGGCTGTGCGTTGATAGATACTTCAAAAGTCGATTTTTTTATTGATACAAAACAAAAGTTACAATTTTTGGAATTCCTTTGGTACCTACTTATATAAAAACTTTGCACATCCTAAGAGACCTATGTACCAAGTTACATGGTTTTATCTCCAAAAATGACGAACACGTGGGTATTGCATGTGGATGCAACCCCTATTTCACTCCCACGCTGGTGTAAATTTTAAAATGCTTGAACAAACGATTTTTTGTTTATTTGGAACATCTGCGACTAGGTTGTTAGTTACTATCGAATAGAATACAAATGGATGACATGATAATTATCGTTTTCTCGATCACCAGATACTGCTAGTAGACGAGGCGACGGCTAACTTGGACAATGAAGCGGAGCGTCAGATCCTGGACGCCATCCGCTGCTCGTTCGGTGGGTCGAGCGTAGTGCTGGTGGCGCACCGCCTGGCCGGCGTGCTGCAGTGCGCGCGCGTGCTGGCGCTGGCGGCGGGCCGCGCCGCCGACCTGCGCGCGCCCCACGACGCGCTCGCCGACCACTCCTCGCACCTCTACCAACTCGTCTACGGCTCATAGACTGCGCCGTGCTCCGGACGCGGTGTAAACACATGTAGCAACTAGCTAATGACGTTCACGTGTCGCCTAGTTGCTGTAGTAAGACTGAAAGGCCATCTAAGAACGAAATGTACATACAAGGGTGAATGCATTTTTTTGTACTAAAATAAATATAATGACTGTGTCTTTAAACTGTCACATTGCTTTGTGCTCTATTACATAAATCAAAAATGTACTTTCATAAAAGACCATTGTCTGAATCAAAAATCTCGCTACAAGTGCTATTTTTGTTTCTCAAGCAACCTTAATGCACATTTTAAACTTGTTTATAAGTAAATGCGTATTTTTTACTTGGACTGAAAGGAAATAAAAATGTGTTAATATTTGGATACCTCACGTTACACATTCATATTGTTTTCAAAATGTTCATGTATATGTATGTCAATGTAATTTTTAAGTTTATGTCTAATTATAATACTACAATGATGGCAAAAAGTTGCGAATTCTTATGAATTTGTTTGTGTATTATTGACCGATAAGTAAATGTTTGACTGATGAGAAAGGTTAGTCATATTGATTGTTGTGCCGATAATTCTTTTATTATCTATGAAGTATTCCTTTTATTTTAGATCTAAGTAAGATAAAAGAAATTATTTTTATAATTAAAGCGTGAATTGAAAGTATTTGTCACAGTTATATCAAAATATTAAAAAAAGAATAAGAGGATTTGAAGAATTGTTGTGTATAAAATACTTTGTGAATAAAATTAGTAGTTATGACATGGATTTGTAAGTAGCGATATCTTCGCCTTGGCAGGGTCTAGTTGCGATACGTAAATAACCTTAGCGGGCTGTCGAACGCGCCGAAATTGATTTATTAGCGAACAATTAATTATTTATACACAAGTCGTTGCTAATTACTAGTACTCTTCCCAGCTAGACTATACCTAAGCAATCACACCCATTTTGCCATCCCGACTATGCTTTTTCTAATTACATAAGGCTGTATAAAAATAAAATGCTTTTCACGAGAACTTAAGATTGAGATGACATTTTCGTGTTTAAAAGCATATCAAATGATTTACAATAGAAATTAAAGTCGAGTTTTGTGATATTGTACCTTAGACTTAATGTAATTTTCATTTTAATAATGTTTTTTTCTGATTAGTTGTCTAGATACATAAATTGTTCTTGTTCATTTTTTACGAAATCATTATAATCTTAAATTACGTGTATAATCTTGAAGTATAATAAGTATTAAATGGTTTTTAAATTAAATGGAATTACATAAAATCATATCGCTCTTTTCTTTGACTTGCGTGTCGCTGGTTTTAAATTAAATTCCATAGATTTCTAATGTGTGGTTGTTTGTTGTGGCTCAGTAGTTAACGGTACACGTGTACAATAATGTTTTAACGCATCTGAAGCTTTAGTACGAGTTTGTTTTACGTTTAAAGTAATCGTTATGAGTACGCGTTCGGCGCTCTGATTGGTTGGTTCATTGGCGCCGGCCAATCTGAGGCCCAAAGAGTATAATAAGTATAGGGGATCTGAGGCCTTAGTATGAGTTTATTTTACGTTTAAAGTAATCGTAACGAGTACGCGTTCGGCGCTCTGATTGGTTGGTTCATTGGCGCCGGCCAATCTGAGGCCCAAAGAGTATAATAAGTATAGAGGATCTGAGGCCTTAGTATGAGTTTATTTTACGTTTAAAGTATTCGAAACGAGTACCTACGCGTTCGGCGCTCTGATTGGTTGGTTCATTGGCGCCGGCCAATCAGAGTGCCGATCGCGTACTCGTTTCGAATACTTTAAACAATAGAGGTGATTGACACACCGCGAGGACACCGGTGTCCGACCACTATTGTTCTTTAATTGTCTATAATAACGGTACTCAAAGACGTAAATCAAACTCGTAATAGGGCCTTTCTTGATTGTTCCACTATTGGGCAAAGACCACTTATCATACAAAGAAGGAATGAAATGCTTATCACTATGATTGCGTAAAGGGGATTGGTAATTTCATTTTCTTTATTTAGTTTCATCATGGCGTTTTCGTTCACCCTAAGCTACGGAGTGCGAAATAAAAAAGTAGGTAAGTAGTTATATAATAATATAACATCAAAGTCAGGAGGGTATCTAATCTACTTATGGGTATTTAACCCACATATGCTTTAAAAATAGGATACAGGTCATTATGGGTTATTATATAAGCCAAGGGTTGATGCTTGTTTGTGCTTCGATATATTCAATCTGTTTCTTTATAAAATACAACCATTCCTAATCCTGAACGTATTGGAAACTCGCAACCTCTTCTCTTCTTTATGAAGTTTTCATTAACTGAGTCTGGGCATTATTTCAGAATCCGACTAATATTTATAGTGCCCTGTAAACGATCAAATTCGTTTGACAAACTTGTTTGATGAAATTCACGTTTTCACCAAACAACAGAGTAGACGAACAAACGTGCATCAAACAAGTTTTTTTTTTATATTGTTTTAAAAAATACGTTGCCCCACACTAGGATTTTCTCCTGTGTCGTGGGTGCGTTTACAAACATACAAGTTCACATACACATCACACCCAGACCAGGAACAACAATCTGTGGATCACACATAGAGTTGTTCCGTGCGGGAATCGAACCCGCGACACGTTGCGCGGCAGCCAGTGGCCCAACCACCGCGCCAATCGTGCAGTCTGTCAAACAATTAGCCAGAATCAATTTTTCCTCGTCGTGACTTGACGTCGTTGTGCTGCGTGCTTAAGAACAACATAGACGACACATTTTTGGTGTTGTCTCTATCACTAATACTATGTATTAAGAAAAGGAAAATAAGAAGATGGACTAGAGAAAATGGATAAAATTAAGAGATAAATATACCCACGAAAAGGACAATGCCAGGTGCTCAGTACATCTTTGACCCACTATATTAGAAGTCATGTACAAGTATGCAGTATTCAGCATCGTGTAGTGTATTAATTACCGATACCTAAACATTTGTCCTGAAACCTGTATAACTTGCAGTTTTTGTTTAAAACACAAAACAATAATGATAAATAACGCGAAAACAACGGAAACGCAGAGAGTGAATGAAAGATAATATTGACACTGACAGCTGACAACTGACAAGCGCTTCAAAACGTTTCGTTACACAAAAAGATCATAACTAATGATAATAATCGTTTCTTTTATATTTTCGTGATTTCATCTGTAATTATTAATTAATAAATAAATGTTATACATAATTATACTTCTGACATAATATTTTATGTATAATGATATCTCATTTACAGTTACTTACTTTTTTATTTTCATACTTTCGTACAAGCGATGCGTATGATGTAACGCAAATAGTCATTAGACAATATGGAAGACGCATCGCAAAAAAGTATTTCCGGGATTGAACTTCTTTTTTTATTAGATTGCAAACCGCAAGTTTAAAAATAAAAAGATTTATTGTGAAAAGGTTCCTTATTCGTCAAAATTATTTTCATAAATTTACTTTTTTTGTAAATGATATTATGACTGGGTCAGGATCTGGCATAGTCATTTGCCACGAGAAATATTGCTCTCAGAACAGAACCAGAAGAATAAATCAGTAATAACCATCTTCAATTTTAGGATATGCACGCATACTGCGAGAACTTCCCTCATGCGTAAAAGTATTTTCTGTATGGCGCCTATGATATTTAATAAATTACCTAGAATTTTGAGAGAACTACCCTTGACACATTTTAAAAATAAGCTAAGAAGGTTTTTAGTTAATAAAGCCTATTACAGTGTTCAGGACTTTTTGGATGAAAAAGACTTTCTAATTCAGACTTCGTACAACATATTTAATGGTGAAGAATAATACAATGTATATTTTTTATAATTTTTTTGTATACCTACTGGACATAATAATATAATTTAGTATTGATTTGTAAATAAATGACTTAGTAAGGACCACTATTTGACTGCGTAATAATGGATATATGTATGTACTGGACGTAATTTATTTTAGACTATCATATAAGTAACTCTAATTTAGAAATATTGTGACATCAAATTCATATGTTTATCTCTGTAATGTAATTTAATAATGACTATTATTGTACAAATTGCTGATTTTAATGAAATTGAATATAATCTTTATACCTATAAAATTTGTATGCCACTATTGGCGAAACATGGACGCACAACTATTATTTAACATCTTGCATGTCGATTTATGTATACGCATGTTTTACAAATAAACAATCTTTCTTTCTTTCTTTCAATAAATTTGTAATTTTTTTATAGACTGGCTCGTTGGCCGAGTGGTCACAAGTGCGACTGCCGGGCAAGGGGTCTCGGTAGTAGCACGGAGTATGGAATTGTGCCCGGTTTATGGCAATGGGTTCACCCCCTATTACATGGGACCAGTGCATGGGACTTATAACATAAATAGTGAAAAGTGGGTGTTACTTCTGTGTGCACCTCTGCCTACCCCTTCGGGGATAAAAGGCATGATGTTAAGATGTAATACGGCATATCTCGATAAATTGATATAAAATGTAGCATTAATTCTTTATTGCCATTTGAACTTGAAGTACCCGCTACGTCCTCCATGGTGTCAGATCAACGAATGAGATCTTGTTTGACAAACATAGCGGAACACCATACGAAACACGTTCAAACACGTTTGCCAAACGCTACGTCAATCAAAATTCTCTTCAAACAGTTCAAACCTTAATCAAACACGTAGAATGTTTGACAAACGCTTCAAACGAAGTTTACACTATCAAATTGTTTGACAAACACGTAAAATTTGACAAACAATTTTACTAGTATTCCTATTAAAACAACTGAACATTTAAAGTCATCAGCAAACCTCTCTGTAACTTTGCTTAAGAACAACATAGAATCATGTCAATACGACTTTAGTTTTCGATATACGAATCCTCTAGAAATTATAAAAGTTTTAAAGAAATCAAGACTAAATCAACGGAGGATCTTTGGGGCTTATCGGTAATGGTTTGCAAGTCACTTATCCAAACTGTAGCGCCATATCTGGCTGTGATTTTCAATAAATGTATAGATGACGGTGTTTTCCCTGACCTAATGAAATATAGTAAGGTTATCCCACTATTTAAAAGTGGTGACACTAAAGAACCTAACAACTATAGGCCAGTGTCTGTTTTACCGGTTCTCAGCAAAGTCTTTGAAAAGTTGATGCTGTCTCGGATGCTTCATCATTTTAATAAACATTCCATCTTTCACCAACAACAATACGGTTTCACTAAAGGTCGTTGCACAACTGACGCCGGTGTCACTTTGATTAAGGAAATATTTGGTGCTTGGGAGGAAGCACAGGATGCTATTGGTGTATTTTGTGACCTCTCAAAAGCATTTGATTGCGTTGACCACGAAACACTTTTGCTGAAATTAGATCATTACGGGATAAGAAACTCTGCGCTCCGTCTTATGAAATCTTATTTAGAAGAAAGACAGTTAAAGGTTCATGTTAACGGTATTAACTCACAGGGCTCTGGGATGAATATGGGCGTTCCTCAAGGTTCAATATTGGGTCCCTTTCTCTTTTTAGTCTATATAAATGATTTGCCATTTATATTTAAAAATGAACCAAGAATGGTGCTTTTTGCAGATGATACATCATTAATTTTTAAAGTAGATCGACGTACAAATAATCTTGACGACGTAAACAGCTCCATTCTTCAAGTGCATAATTGGTTTACCATTAATAATCTAGCACTTAATGAAAAAAAAACAAAATGTATTAAATTCAGTTTACCAAACGTGCGTAGTAACGATTGTGATATTGTTTTGAACGGTCAAAAGTTAGAATTTGTCGACGAGACAGTATTTTTAGGCATTACGTTAGACAATAGGCTACAATGGGGTCCGCATATAAAGGCGCTTTCGGGGAGATTGAGCTCAGCTGCTTTTGCAGTTAGACAGATTAGACAGCTCACGGACGTGGATACAGCTAGGCTTGTCTATTTTAGTTATTTCCACAGCATTATGTCGTACGGCATTTTGTTGTGGGGTCGAGCTGCAGAAATAGAATCAATATTTATTCTGCAAAAGCGGGCTATCCGAGCAATATATAACTTACGCCGTTGCGAATCGTTGAGAGAATTGTTTAAAACGATAAATATTTTAACGGTGCCCTGTCAATATATATATGAAAATATAATGTATGTAAGGAAAAATAGGCAATTGTTTGAAAAAAGAAGCGATAGACACAATTTTAATACTAGAGGCAAAAATAAGTTAGCTATACCGCAATTCAGACTGTC